AAGAAAAAAAAATCAATTGAATTCTTCTTCTTCTTTTTTTTTTTTTTTTTATTAAAGGGTGAAGCACAAAAAATCGAACAATTGATGAAGGTGAGTCGAACATGAAGTGTACTTATAATAAGAAAAAGAAATTGCTCATCAAAAAGAGATTTGTGTTTTTTTTTTTTGTATATTCGTTTTTATTAATTCTTTTTTATTAAGGTATTTGGACAACGTTATTCTATAACAAATCCATCATCATCACCATCGAATATTGATACTATATTTATATTAGCTTTTGCTATTATTATGTTAAATACTGATTTACATAGTCGAAATATAAAACCTGAGAAAAAAATGCGTCTAGAACAATTTATTAAAAATCTTCGAGGTAAATATATATTCATTCATTTATATTTGTATGTATATATCAAGAAATAAATCTGGAATTTGATAGGAACATTTTTCTTTCTGTATACGCATGTGACGATTGCTTATGTATATATAGTAAATGTCGACTTTTTTCCCTAATGTAAATATGCACAGTAGGGAACATAATGAATCTTTTACCATTACTGTAGGCTATTAGTTGTCGTAGTAAGGCAAAACGAACGACACTGATTGCCAATTTGTCAAATTTTTTTTTTTTTACTTTTCCTATTTGTTTGCCTGCTTACAAACACGCTTATGAGGAGAAGGATTATACTATAAGAAGAAGTTTTCTTTAACTTCTCTCTCTGTCTCGTTTTCTTTCTCATGACGTCTACATTTCCATGGTCACACAAAAAAATGTATGCAGTATTTTCTTCTATATGGATGTTTGCATATTCCGTATATTACTTGCGTGTCAGATTAATTTGTCGGCGTGTGAGCCGAAATGGATCGGAGAACAAGTGAATGTAAACCTCGACAAATCTTATGTTGATAGTGTTAGTAAAGATAGTTACAATATAAGTATTTTTCATTTCTTCTTTAATGAGCCACGCAAATCCAACACATGCACCCTGATCGGATGGAAACTGGAATGTGCGCATGGATAGATAATCGAAAGAACAACATACAGAATCATGCGTAAATACATTCAACAGAGTCTAAACTCATTTGCTCATAGATATATATATATATATAGAATACAACTAGACAAGAATCAATTAGGAAACGTTTCTTCCAGTAAACAGCACTATACTACCAGACAAATTGACCATCTGCAAGCATTAAACAGAGAGAGAGAGAGAGAGAGAGAAAAAGAAGAAACGATGCTGTTGAGGCAATCCAAATGGAGACTCGTCTTCTTCTGATTCTTTCTTTTTTTTTCTTCTAACCGACTGATGTCTTTACTATTACTACATTTATATGATGCTTGTTGATAAATAAATCTTCAATACATTAAACATCACATAGCCGTTCGTGTTTTCTTCTTGCATATACAAATCAGAAAAAAAGATCCTAACAACCATGTAAGTCATTCAAAAAGATCTTTTACTCTATTAAGCACTGTTATTCTATTACTAATTAAGATAAGAATAGTCATTGTCTTCTTTTTTTGTTTCTATTTTTTATTATATGTCTTTGAATTCAAATGAGATGTGCATGTTGCATATACACTAGAGCATTATTGTATGTTGTCATTGTTGATAATGGACGTTGTGTTAACGAAGCGAAGCGAAATAGAGAATAAAACAAAAAGATGAAACAGATTAGACAACATTGAACTGATGTGAATATAAAACGAAGCCTTTGTCATCCAAGTTCATTATTCCTATGCACAATCGTTAAAATGACATGAAGAGAAAAACTAGAGTCATGACAGTAAATTATGGAAAACAACACAAGAACGAAAAGGCGCGGATGAAATGATCTTTATATGTTGCTTTTCTTTTCTTTTTTATGCTTCCGATAGACACATATAGGATTTCACTCTGTATGCAAACGCGTCTACTAGTAAAATTGACATGATTAGTGCATTCCAACGGTGACAGTCGAAATTAAATTTTGTTGATTCTTTTTCTTTTTCTTTCTTGTCTTTTCAATTAATTCACTATAATGTATTGAGAACTTGAGCTATTGACATTTCAGTACAGATTAATCTAATGATTTTTTCTTCTTCTTCTTCCTCTTCTTCTTCTTCTCTTTCAGTATTAGAATAATTTTCTGATAAAGATCTTACTATTGGACTATATAGTTGCATACTAATTTGCGTCTCTGTCTCTCGCTCTTTTTTTTGCGTTGTTTTTTTTCTTTTCTGACATTAGAATAGAAAATAAGCAAAATGTGAAATAGACAACATATTAGAAGATATATTAAAAACGTATTTTAATCAAGATCGATGCACACGTCATATTTTCCAAGTAAATATCATGAATTTTTTGACAGACAGTTTTGCTTTTTTTTTTTTTTTTTGTCGAACTAAATCAAAGTGTTCAATCTCGTTTTATTGACCAAAGAAAAACTTTCTTATATGTTTATGTATGTGAAAGCGGAAGGAAAAAAAAAGAAAGTAGGAGAAAAATCTGATCATATGGTTTTTCTTTTCAAACTGAGAGGAAACACCCGACACTACCGTTGTTTGAGGAATAACTTTTACTTTGTCTTTTTTTTTGTAGACTTTTCATTCGCTTTACTACAATAATGAGACAAGGAAAAAGAGGGAGAACCGATTTCCGCTTGCTGCACAATCCGACACTCGTTCGTTATAGACAAGTCGAGGAAAATGCTTTTATGAGAACGAGCGTTCACTCACTTATTCACTCACTCGTCTACTTCTTCTCATCATCATTCTTGTCAAGGTCTTTTCGCTTGTTGACTGCTAGTATATACACTCATAGTCAAAATCGAATTTTGCTTCGGCTCATACAGACTTGTACGAACGGTCTCACTTCATGTCAATAATACTATTAACATTAAGAAGACGAAGAAGAGAATAAGAAAGTCCGAAAGAAAATCATTGCGTTCTTCTTTATTTCTTTGTCAATAGGCGGACGAATATCGACGGAAAAGCTAAAGGGAAAAGGAAAAAAAACCGAGAAAACAGAAGGCAGAAAAGAAAGAGAAAAAAAGTCAGAGAATAGAAACAAAATCGATCATTTCAATTTTCACAATACTATATAATAGACTGATTCTTTTCGCAAATCGCACCAACGACAGCGAACGGAAGCAAACTAAAAATGTCTCATTGAACCGGAGAAAAAAGAGAGAGAAACAGAGAACGGCTTTTCCATCGCCTCTTTATAGAATGTATATAAAAGAGAAAAAAGCGAAGGAAGTTACAAAAAGAAAAAAGAAAAAAGAAGAAGAACAAGAAAACCATCATCTATAAATCATCGACCGCTTGCATACAGCAATGGCACTCATTGCTATCGTTCGGTTGTCGTCATTACGCTAAAGCAAAATGAGAGAAGAAAAAAAAAATTTTCTATGTCAACAGACATTCAACATTCTTAAATGATGATTATTAAACAAGTCATATTATTATTGTTTTCTAGCAATCGATTATGGTGAAGATCTTGATATTGATTATTTAACTGGTATTTATGAACGTATACGTGCACAAGAATTTCATCCGGATAGTGATCATGTAACACAAGTAGCTAAATTTGAACAAACACTTATTGGTAAAAAGCCAATATTAGTTGCACCACATCGTCGACTTGTATGTTATTGTCGTTTATATGAAATATATGATTTATCAAAACGTGAAAGACTTACAGCACATCAACGTGAAGTATTTCTTTTCAATGATTTACTTGTTGTAAGTTTAACATGAATTAAATACAAAGAAAAACAGGAAAAAAAACAGACCTTTTTTTGCTATGATTTAGATTACGAAAATATCCGGTAAAAAACGTCAACAATTACAATATCAATATCGTCAAGCATTTCGTTTATCCGGAATGAATTTATATTTATTTGAAACAACACGTAAGAAAGAAAAACTTAATCTTTTTTATGATGAACCGAAAAAAAAAAATTTTTTTTTCTAGATTATCAATATGGAATTCGCCTTGTACGTAAACCAGATATACATCAAACAAATTTAATAACATTCAATGCAAGAAATGAACATGATCGAACAAAATTTTGTGAAGACTTAAAAGAAGCCATTATGGAAATGGATGAAATGGAAGGTTTACGTATACAATCTGAACTTGATAAGCTACGTGGTTCATGGAGTTCACTTGCAGATATTTCAAATAATAATAATAATAACAATAATAATAATAATAATAATGGAATTATTTCATCGTTAATTGATTATCCAGCAAATAAACGTGATAGGCCATTGTCAAGGACATTATCTAATTCATTACTTGATATGACATTAACAATGCCTGTTTCATCAATATGTAAGGAAATTGAAATAGTAAAAACTATTCATGTAAAACTTTTCTTTTTTTTTTGTTTATGATAGTCACTCATAATAAAACAACGAATAATAATACAACAGAACTTTTACCATGTCGAAATTCTCAATGTTCAGTTGATAGTGGAATGGTAAGTAAAATAAAAATATTATTGATTAACTCGTGATCATATCCTTTTCACAACCAAAAAGTGTCCATTCGACATGATTTTATGGTTGCTTTCAGGTTGTGGATAGGACGGATTACATATTCTTCTTGGGTTTTCTTCCGTTGTTTTCGATTACTATTACTTATATTATTATAATGATATGTTATTTTTTTTTTAGGTTTCATTGACAAATGAATTTTCACCAAATAATGGATTTAATATGCATCTAACAACAACTAAATAAACTAAATCGATTTCTATTCTAATCGTGAATTAATTCTACAGATAAAATTTTTTATATATTATTATATACGTATTAAAGCTAGTCAGTCAAGTGTAAACAGTTGTTGTTTGTTGTTTTTTTCTTATATGTTCGAAATGAAGAACATTTTGTATATGTTTAGAGTTCTTTTTTTTTTTGGTTTGTGTGCACAGTTGTGAAATAATGAAAAAGAGAGAAAAAAAGAACAATCGGTCATATTTAATGTGACTTTTTCCGTTTTTTGTTTTATTTAATGATGATTTGATTGCATAATCATAGAAAATCTTTGAAGATTTTCTTTAGCTTTTAATGTTAATAAAGAATTTTCAATTTGAAGTTGTTCATATTCATTTGATAAATTTATTAATTCGTTTGATTGTCGATTATGTTGATTAATAATTGATATATGATTTGTTTGTTTAATTATTCTATCATGTTGAATTAAAAATTGTTGAATTTGTTTTGTTAATTTAATAAGTAATTCATGTCGTTGTTTAAGTTTTAATGAATATTCATTCAATTGATATTTTGTATATCGATATTCATTTTTAAGATGATCAATTAAAGTTGTTTCTTGATTCATACTTAATTGCATTGAAGTTAATAATTCATTATAATCTATAGTTAATTTCGATTTGAGAACAAATGGTGTAATCTAAAGGAAAAATAAATCTATATTAACAAAAGCTCAGCTTTAGTTTTTTAAAGAGCGAACTTTTTCTATAATATTTTTCATAGAAGATTGATTTAGTAAATGATCAATTTGATTTCGTTTAACATTCATTTGTAATAGACGTGTTTCAATGAGTTCAATGATACTAGTTAAATTTTTATTTGTTCGAAGAGATTCAATAATGATTGATAATTCTTTAAAATGTTGATCAAATTTATTCAGATAGTTTTGTATATCATGAAAATTTTTTATGCACTGATGAAATTTTTGTATAAATATATGATTAAGTTCATCGACTGTTAAATTATCATTTTTCAAAGCAAGATTTATCGTTTTTTGAGATGTATTTGCACATATTTTGTTGATTGGAATGGGTGTTGAAAGAATTTCAGTTGAATTCTCTGTTATTGGACTTAATAACTTATTGGATAATATACCATTTAGAGTAGAATATTCAAGCAAAGGTCGATCATGTTTATGGATAGATTTCGATATAAAAGGAATTTCTGACGTCATTAAAATGTTATGTCACTGTATGATAAGTGAAAAGATAAAGAATACAATAGATTTTAGATATGAAGAAATAGTAGAAAAGTAAAGAATGGATCACGATGGAATGAAAGATATATATATATATATATATGTTTTGAACGGATATAAGAACTACTGAATATACGTTTAAATTTTCAAAATATTTTAAAAGAGAAAATTTATAGTAAAATAAATATTTTCAATAAAAGATTATTATATGTGACTTTAGTTAATATTATACAATTGACACATATTCAAAAATCATTCATGCTAGTGTATGTGTGTGATATACTTTTTATAATTAATTTTACATTACTATTGCCAATATGATTAAGAAATTTTGAAGTAATAGTCAACTTCTTTAAGACAATTATTTAGGATAATATAATTCGTTATCCTTTTGTTTTTGTCTAAATAAAACACTCGTTTGTGTCATTCATATTATACGTTCCATATTTTGTCAGTGAAATACGACTTATTAAACTAATTCCATCAGTAAAAATATTTGCATAATATAAGGTGAAAAAAATTCTCATTCTTATACCTTCAAAGTTTACAGATACTACTGAGTAGTGTCTTATAGACTGATGAGAGAACTTCTTCAGATGTCCTCTTCTAATTTTAATGATTTTTCTTTTGTCTATAGATATTACATAGTATTCTAAATTAAAATTTCAAAAGGATGACTTAACTAAGTTACTAAATTTTTATTCTAGATACCCTAGGTTTCAGAAAAAGTCGAATTTTTTTATCCGAAACTTTGCGCATATAGAAAAGTCAACATAAAAAAAAATTTCAGAAGTTTTCAATGAAGTGTCTTCGAGATGTGAAACTTTCAAAAACTGAATGTTGTCTACATTATTCATGGAAAAAAGTGTATACGTTGAAAGTTTCATATCTCGAAGAGAGTTTGTTGAAAACTTTTGAAATTTTTTTGCTGTTAAGTTCTTTATATGCACGAAATTTCAGATCTACGAATCTTTTGAAAATCTGTGGTTCATTTAAAATTTTTATTACAATACACTGTAAGATCTCCTCATAAGACATAAAATCTGTTTCGTTAAAAAGCTTAGTCAACCTTCTATTACTAGAAGAGGCAGATATGTGTTAAATTTCAAGTGCTTTATTGAAGTATATTTGCGTACTTTCTCATGAACTAACCAAACATAACAAGATTATTATACAAGCAAATTAGATTTTGATATTTGGCTACGGAAGGTTGTTGTTGACTTTTAAAATTTTTCGAATGGTATAAAAGATTCTTTGAATATCTTGTCATAGATTAATGTGCATAATCAATGTTATTATCATTGGAAACTAATGATGTTTACATTTTTCTACTAATATCTGTCAGATATTTGTGATACACGATCAATGATAAAGATGATTTACATCGAAAAGAGAATATCTTTTTTTTCTAAATCGATTTCTATTTGGAATGAAATTCCTACCAATGTAGAATTGCTTTGAATACTATCGAGAAATGAAAACGAAATATTTTTATCAATACTTATTAATAAAAACTATTGAACGCAAGGAGACTAGTTTTTCGAATTCTACATTCGACATTTTCTGTTTGTCATAAACTATTATCTTCATAGATCTTGTATTGATTGTTTTTTTTTTGAGTAATATTTCAATAAGACGGATGAAGATCTTTTGTAAAGAAAATCCTATTAACATGATGATTTTAATAGTTTATATTCTCATAACTATATAGAACATTGAATCAATAAACTTTTATTTCAAGAAATTAGAAAATGCAGTTCATCATTTTGTTGAAAATAAAATCTGTTGATCATTATTATCAGAAACAATTATAGATAGTGTTTCATGTAGATACTAATGTTATATTTCTATTTTTCCCAAAGGGCTAGTAATATCAACGACGTCATGTACTGTATTGATTTAACGAGAGATAAATGCTTTGTATTTTAAATATAACATTTGTTTTTTTCCATTAATAATACAATATTCGATGTTGCATGATTATAGGGAATTATATTCGTATGAAAAGATAAGTGCTTGCAATGCAATATAAATTAAGATTAGATATGAATTATTACGTTGAATCGAACATCATTAATATATTTATACTAATCTTAACTGATCTTTAATCTATCATTATTAACAATTATTTATATTGAGTATACATCCGAGTCAGATTTTTATTAGTAAAATAGTATTCAATTGACTGGGTCTGGCACAAACTTAAATATGGTTCAGTTTTGGTTTCTTGAATGTTCGAATTTCTATTTTGTTGTATTGTCGATAACATAATGTTCTTATTTTTATATTTTTTTCTAGATTGTAAAATATTTCATCTATATCATCTACGATATTCTTTTCTGATTTGAATATTATTTTTACAAAAGCTTTTAATATTTATTACGAGGGAATCTTTTCAACTTGAAAATCGATTTTGAGTTTGCACTCTGTTCATAAAGTAAACTGCAAAAAGATACGGATGTGTAGAACTTCCCTACAGAGTTATAACTGTTTTACTGAGATTTAAACCTATAGTACGATATGTTCAAAACAATTGAATAAGGACATTTTGACCTGAAATCTTGCTTATAGAAAGATTTACTTTTAACTAGAATGTCCTGAAAATGTAAGCTCAAAAGAGTGTTATTTTCACGAGATATTGAATTCCAAAATATCACTTATATTTCACGAAAGATTCAAGAATCTCTTTTTTTTTTTTGGAAATTCAATATCTTGTGAAAAGTACATTCTACTTAAAAGAAGATCTTTCTATGGAAAAAATTGCAATGGAAAATATCGTGCTGTATGATAGAAATTCATTAAAATGTCTATAAATCTATAGAAAAGGTTTGGAAGCCCTTATTCTTTTGGATTTTTGTAACCTAATTGGGTTCTATCTTATGCATAGAGTCCGAACTCAAAAACGATTTTTAAATTGGAAAAGTTACTTCGTTAGATTTATTTCTATCATTTAAATAACAAAATCCTAACGAGGAAACTACCCAAACTGACACCCTCCATTTAAGCTCATATTAAAGCCACAAGAAGGTCTTGATGAGATTAGCAAAAGAGTATAAGAGTTCGTCTTGAGAGGCGAGTTATGACAGACCTACTAGATTGTCGATTCACTTGTAGTTGTAGATAGTCTGCGCAAAATTAAATCACGAAATTTCGCCTATAGATAGGTCTAATGACTGTTAGAATATTTTGATATTTTTAGTCGAACATAAATTTTCTTTCGTCAAGATGTAGAGTTTTTAAGAATAGCCTTTTATCATACACACTCTCACAAAAATTAAGTTCAATTAAAAATTCAATAACTTAACAAAGGAACAGTTTTTGCAGTTGAAATTGTCAGAATATTCTACAAGTCATTAAACCTATCTATTGGCAAAATTTTAGATCGAAAATCTAGTACATTAGTCGTCAGTGGGTACCAAAGGCTTATGGAGACAAACAGTCTTAGACTTTTGCTAGTCTCAACGAAACTTTCTTCTGCATCCAATGTGAGGTCAAACAGAAAGTATCAGTTGAAGTAGTTCCTTCGTAAGATAACAAAGCAAAAGGAAATTGATTTTCTTTTCTATATACATTAATTCAGTAATGCGTTAAATTAGTAAGTTTTTACAAGCCTATGCTTTTTCACTTAACAAAAAAATTGACATAATTGTAATAACGAATTGATTCATGGTCTAGTCTTGAGGTTCTACTACATTGATACCTAATATTCGAATACTGAAGAAAAAAGAAAGAAAACTTATATGTGAATTAAAAATCAATCAATAATTATTGATGAGATTAAATAATTTTAGTATGTCAACATATCTTAATCAACTATTTAATTATCTAAGACATGTTTCAATATTTGAGAAACTTCTCTATTGTTGTCTAGTTTTATCAATTCAACTATAATTAATTGAAAAGTTTACTTCTTAAGATTATAATGCAATTCTAGAATTCATTTGTGCTTAAAACCAACTGCAAGAATATTTTTAACTAGTTGTATTGTAATCATAGTTAGCGTAGAAAGTTCACAATATGGTAATATGCGTAATTGTACTAATAAAGTCCATATCTTCTAGTTGACTAAAAACGATTTAGAGAATATTTTTTATCATTATCATGATGCTATTTCACTTGAATAACTTCAGTTGTTGACAAGCATTTAATTAGAATGACATACATTGTTTGTAAAAGACAAAATCTTATGACGTTTATTTTTACTTCATCACTCAGTATCCTTGACAATATCTTTTTCTTTCTCTACAATCTATATGCAATCTTTCTGCAATATGCGTAATTGTCTTACAAAAAAATAGCTTTTTTTTTTTTATCCGGTGGGGGTCTTCGTACATTTCCAGAATAAATATCAACTCAGAAATACACTGATTCATCGCACTAATATATCTTTTCTATATGATAAATACTTTAGAAGATAACTGATGTTCTAACATCATATTACTCTCCACATGTGCACTTTTTTTGTCATTGACAAATTTTACAGTTCTTTGAAAGTCAAATGAGTGCTTGATATTTTATAAAGATAGATGCAAATATATGTGTGTGTGTCACAAAAGAAAAAAAAGAAAAAAAAAGAAAAAAAAAAGAAAAATGAAGAAGAAGAAGAAGAAGAAGAGGTAATGTTCGATTATGAAAAAAGGTAAACAGGTCTTATTATTGTAACTGTTGTTGTCATTTTTCATAATTATTGTATTTATCGTGTTGATGAAAGCGATAGAAATTCTAGAGGCTGATGCTTTGTTTTTGATGAATAATTATGTGATGAATTATAATTGAAATTTTCATTATCAATATCTTGATCATTAAAATTTGTATATTTTTTTGTTGATATTGATGATGATGAACGTGGTTTTATTGATGAATCACTTGTTGAATCACCAATATTTTGTAAAATTTTTTTACTTGTTTCAGTTGAAAAACGTGTTATAGCATTAAGATCATCATTTAAACTTCGTAAATGTATACTCGTTGATATTGGTTGACGTGAATGAATAAATGAATGTTCACGTGGAGTATTTGCTACTGTTGAATAATCATATAATGATGATGCCGTAGGTGATGCTAAACTTGTTGTTCGTCTTGGTGGACAATAATCAAGATTTGATGATAATGTTGAACGATATTTTGTATAATAATTATCATCAACAGGATTTGTTCGATATTTAATATAATCATCATCATCATCATCATTGATAGGCTTTGAACGATATTTTGGACTATAATCATCATCAATACGATTTGATCGATATTTAGGATTATAATCATCATCAACAAGATTTGAACGATATTTAGGATTATAATCATCATCAATAGGATTTGATCGATATTTTGAATGATAACTATCATCAATTGAGCTTGACCGATATTTTGTACGATAATCATTATCAATTGAATTTGTAAGATATCTTTTATAATAATCATCTTCCATTGGAGTTGAACGATATTTTGTATAATAATCATTATCAATTGGATTTGTACGATATTTTTTATAATACTCATCATCAATTGAATTTGAACGGTTATAATCATCTATATTATCATTATCATAAGAATTATATTCATTAGCTTGTTCTTTTAATGGTACACGTACATCACGATTTGAATAAGATCGAAGACGTGCTTCATAATCAGGACTTACAGCATGTTGTGGTTGATGTAAATATGAAGCAACACCATAATGATATTGATTATATTTATTTGGTGATGATGATGTATCAGGTACAGATAATAATGCTGAATATGTTTCACTAAATAATGGTACAGCTGTTGATGGTATTGATGTATGATATGGATTATATGCACGCATTATTTCACGATCTGGTTGTAATTTTTGATTGATTTTATCAAGTTTATTATTCATATTTTTTTCAAAATGTCGATAACGGCCAATAGGTGTTTTAAGTTCAAGTGCTTTTTCTTCTTCTAGTCGAACACGTCTTTTAAGTGTTTGTGGTGGTATTGGTAAATCATAAGCAAGAACATTACTTGGTGATGCTAAATTCATAGCAGTAGCTATTGTTGCATTTGTATTTTCATCATTGATACCTGTTGCTGCACTATCTAATGTAACAGCACTTTCCATTTCACTCTCATGTCTTTGTCGCATTAATTGTAAACATAAATCATGATTACGTTGACGATCTTGTATTTGTTCCCATTTTTGTTCACGTAATGATTGTGCTTGAGATGCTTTTAATTCTTCTTCACGATCCCATAAACTTAATTCTTCTAATTTATTCATTAAACGTCGTGTACGATGTTCACGCCAATTAGGATTTAAACGTGAACGATTGGTTTTTGGTACATATTTAAGTTCTTCTATTGTCGGTGATGTACTATTTGTTGTTTCAAGTTTATAACTTTCAACTAATGCATCAATAAAATCAACTGGTCGACGTGATGATTTTGATGATAAATGAGATGATCGAGTATTACTTGAATTTTTTGAACGTAATTTAGGTACATCCGTATCATCCTTGCTTATTGTTGAAGAAAAATTCACGGAACGAGATTTTGATGATGTTCGTTCTTCTTCTTGAAGTTTTCTATTAATATTCTCTTTGTTAATACTTTTTAAAGGAATAGAAGTTGATTTTTCTTCGTGTACATCAGATGTTATAGATAATGATTTATTAGATTCCGCTAAAGCCGAAATTGAAGATTGATTTCCTTTTTCTTTTTCTTCTACTCGTTCTTTTTTTTCTTCAGAAGTTTTTGTAGATGGCGTCATTTTAACTTGATCTAATTTTCCATTTTCTACAGAAACATTATTGTCTGAAGGTAATGATTCGATTTTATTGTCTTGCGTAGATGGTACTTCATCGGATACCGATGCCATTTGTTTTTTTTTTTGTGAGCTTACAATATTCACTAAACAAAATAAATAAATACAAAACAAAACATTTCTTGATTAAATTAGTCACCGAAGAGTAGAAAATTTTCTTTTTCAGGATAACGTCTCTACAAATAGAATCGTTTGACGACGCCGATGCCGCTATGCGAGCCTTGCTAAAAAAGATAGTAGAAGTTATACATAGTAAAGATGTTTTTTTTTCCTCTCTTGCATGCTCTCCTTTTCCTTCTCTCTCTCTCTCTCTCATTTCTTCCTCTGTATATTTGTCTGTCAGAACAATGATAAAAAAAAAATCTCATCGTGCTTGTAATTGTTTTGAGACATTTGTCTCTTTACTTCGTCGCCTAAGAGAACTGAGGATATTTTAGTATTTACAGACAAGCAACGAGTGTACCACGCGTAAAGAAGAAAAGGAGATTAAGGAGGAGGAGGAGGATATGACGAAAAATCAGGGTTTTCTATTCTTGCCCTCTTCTCTTTTGTTATTATGTCGATGAAGATAATCATGCCTGCGTGATACAAAAGAGAAGGATGGTTGTTGTCGTTTTACTATACAGTGCTAAAAGCATAAGAAATATAGAAAAGAGAAGGTTATCCATTTCTATACATACGTACTTGGCATACAGCAAAAGAAAGAAAGAAATACTTCTCTTCCGTCAACCGCAAAATGATGCACATTTGCTTGACGAGTAGATAAAGATCGATGCTAGCAATATAGCTACCATGCTTCATGATACGACCATCGAAAAGAGACTGAGGCATATTTTCCTTCTCTATGATAAAAAAGGAAAGGTTGGCGTCTACATTGACGTCACAACTCTATATATATCAAGGTCTATATTCATTCAGTACGACTTACAGTATATATGTATATACAAAATCAAGGTATTCATATAATAATATGATGATCCTTACGAAACTTCTTGGATATTTGTATACATATATATATATATATATTCAATTAAATGGTCAAGACCAAATAGAAAGTGAAAGTGACATGTAATATATATAAATATGTAAATAAATATAATAGATGGCGAACATCACATCATTTTTCTTATGTTTATGTTATTTGAATGTTGAAAAGTTCTAAATATACTTCATCAGTATTGAGCAGATGCTTCTGATATAGTAAGACTATTTCGACTCAATTATGTGCTAGTAATGATGACATAACAATTATTACATATTCGTCTAATACTTGTTCTCCTATTCTCAATAATAGAACATAATGCAGGCAATAGTTGATAACTGTGATAATCAGCTAAATGAGTTATACTAGGAACTATCGATAATATATCTTGAGTAACTTCAAAGAAGAATTGTTATGGTGTGAAATGATATGAATAACTGTAGATTTCTAATGAACAGTTAACGAGTAAAAAACAACAAAACTATTCAAAAAATACAATTCAGTGTTAGAATACTCTTTATCTGTTTCTATTGCCCGATAAAAGTTCGTTTAGGTCTATTACTTCCTCGTTGTTGTTATTGTCAATTGTAAAACAATTGATAATAGACTTAGATGTTCCCATAATGGTTTCTATAATGCATTACAATACAATAGAAAATTATCTAATTGGAATAAAAGCAGATATTATAGTATCACGATATCCTTCAAGTTCTATTGTATTCCAATGCACGCAATATGCCTATTGTATATATCTCTTATTGTGACAACTGAGAATATATAAAGAAACCAGATGCAGTAAGTTGCAGAAATGTTCTTAATTGTCGTATAAAATCAAGGATTATTATATTGTAAGCATAACTCCAAACAGTGATATATGTATATGGACTTTATATTCTAAAATATATTTTCACATATTTTTATGCATGTGATGTTAATTTGTCAACAATGAACATAAAAAGCAATGTTATGTCTAAGAACAAGAAGTTAGGATCTGCTTAACGCATCATGAAAATGAAATGATAGACCTTTCGGTTATAATAGGCAATAAGACATTATTACTATATTGATGTCTTTTCTTTACGGTCATATAACAATATTTTTATTGTGATTTGCTCTATTGCTTTTAGGACCTTTTACATTTTGTCCTAGGAAATGTTTCTACTGCCATGCAATTAAAATATAGCAAAATTATTTATCTGGATGTACTAGAATTTACTGAATGATTCTTAAGATCATATAAAATAACAATTTTGTCTTTGTCTATTGATCTGATTTGTATATTATATATTAATATTAATTATCAAAAATTTCTTTTGATATTATGCATAGATTAAAAAGAAATACTTTGTACTCGTAATGAAAATATAGTCAATAGACTTATGATACATCAACCAATCAGTTTCTATTTTATCTTCAATTTACTGATGAATATCAAATTTTGCTTTGACTCTTCCAAATATTTGAAAACATTACTGCATAGAATGGAGTGTTTATTGAATTGAAAGGAATCTTAGAAATTAACGTTTTAAGAAAGGATACCATAGAAGAAAACGAAAAATCAGAAGTTAATCTGAATGATTTATGTGGTCATTAAACTGATTATTTCGATACTAATTTGAATGTTTCTAATAAGTCATTCAAAGTCATCTGTTCAATTGTTTATCATAAATGGAAAAAAAGATTTTGGTACAAAATAATTCGTTTTGAATTTGAGAAATTTAATCGTTTGGATTCGGAACGAGTAGAGAGTATTTCTTGGAAAGACTTTTGTTCAATAATAATTCTCCCTCACCACAAACTATCTACTTTAATTTTATATGTACATGGATCCATTTGATCAGATGTTTGACGCGCTGAATACTTGTGTTGTTAGGGAAAAGAGATGAAATGAAATTTTCAAGCTTGTTACAAAAAATATGCTGTTGAAATGTTTCAAGTTTTGTTCTAAATTTGTCTCCTTCTATTGTTGACATATTTTAAAATAATAGATCAGTGTGACCAAGGGTTACGAACTTTTGAAAAATGATTTTTTTTTTGTTACAGGACCTGAGAGTTTAGTATTCTACTAAAAAACGAAGCGACATACAAATAAACTTTTTGTATAAAAGTTGTTTAGTTTTCCACAAGCTTTCAGAACATTAGGTCATTTTTTTTTCAAATAAACCTAACTGCTTTCAATAACCAATAAAAAAAAGTGTTCGATACAGAATTTCATCCTATTTGTTGAAAATCATAGTTTGCTTCAGGATGAAATTAGAAAACGTTAAAAGCAACCAGATATTTATCGCCAGCATTGAGTTCTGCATTAAATGGTGTAGATTTCACTTGAATCTAAGGAAAAATAGATTGTTCAACTTTTTCGACTCGAAGAGTTTTCGAGCAAAGTAAATGTTGAAATTTTGATTAACTAAATACTACATTTTGTTCAGAATTCAATATTAATGATAAATATGTTGAAATAGATGCATATGCTTATGAACAAGGACAGTGCAAAACACTGAGGAGTCATCTATGAAGGATGTTCAGGTAAGGAGCGAAGTCAAACACTTCTGGACGTCTACACACTTATTATAAATATTTCCAGTTGTTTTTACACCACTTCCAGCGAAATTTTCCGAATGAGTTGGTTTTGAAGAGCATGTTTTGAAAAGAAAATGAATTGAATGAATCAGTTAAATATGAAGACGGTATTGAAATAAATCAAGATTTTTGTTACGAAAATCAACAACATAAGCAAGCAAAATACACTATAAGCAAGTTTTGTTACGAAACTTTATCAAAAATAAAGATGATTTTCGAACACATTATTTTGGTTCGTAGACATCTAACATTCGTGCGAAGATCATATGTCGAAAGAATACACTCAATACCGCTCAGGAATAGAAACGCGTTCACTTGAAATACCATCGATCGTTCTCTTTTCAATAATCAATTCAGTTTTTTTCCTTTTAAATTCGAATTCTCTCTATGTGCGAATGACTGATGGTTAGTCATGCCGAAACTCTAAAGTTATTCAGATTGATAGACTTTTTTTTTAATAAACTTTTGTTTTCTTTTTAAAGATTCAAACGAAATCATATTTTGACAACAGTAGACATGAACAAAACAATGGTAACATCTTTCAAGCAAACAAAATTGATTTCTAATTGAAAACAAACGAATGTTTCAGTTACCTGTGTACAAAAACGGAACAGAACTCAAAAAATAAATTAATTTAAAAGGGTTCTTCAATTCCTAAGGTGAGCTTTCGAAGAAGATATTTACATAGCGATTGTTTTGTTTTGTTAGAATTGATTTATTAAGGGGAACCCCTCTCTCAGAAAATTGATTTTTTTTGAAAAAAATCGATTTTGAGATAAGCACATATGCTGAAAGCCCAAAGTGTCCTCTTTCAGATTATGTATGATTTGTTNGCGTAATTGGTCAGTGTATGTTCACTGTAGAGAGGTGTTTTTCTACAGAAATGACTGAAAAAAAGTGTTCAATGTTCAGAATTGGGAGGTGTTCATCTTGCGGAGGTCTATTTACAGCAAAAATTGATCGGGGGTTCTGAAACATTTGTTCAACTGGGAGGTGTTCATTATATAGAGGTGTTCATTAATAGAGGTTTCACTGTAGGTGTAGCGATCAATACTTATGTAGCCATTTTTTCTTTTGACCTCTTTAGAATTTTCTAAAGTCCTTCCCAAAAAATATAATAATATTTTGCAAAGAAACCTGTGAAATCATGAAAATATTGCCAGGAATGTTTTAACTAGGAATGTTTAGAATCGTGCAGGATTCTAATGTTGAAATATCGAAATAATGTCAGGGTGCTGATAATATCTTGTTAAGCATCCTGATTAAATCTTTCGCATTTGTTCGTTAAAAATTGACAGTAGGATTTTAAGGTGCCCTAAACTAATTTCTGATATCAAATCTAGTGAAAAGCTTCTCAAGATACATCCTAAACTCTATTTCCAATTAAGATTGTACCATAAACTCTATAACCACATCACCATGTGTAGACTGAAAGATCACTCAATTCTGTAATTCATATTATGAGCTCCGACATACTTTCGATTTTCTTTCT